AATGAGGTGGCAGGACATGGTGACCCACGCCTGTAATTCCAGCTATTTGGGAGCCAGCCTGGACAACTCAGCAAGACCCTGTCTCAGAATACAAAATAAAGAAGTGCTGGGGACGTAGTAGCTCAGTGGTAGCACAACTGTGTGTCAACCACCAGAAGCAAAAAGAAAGAAAGAAAGGAACCCTGATACACGTTACCCTTGGGTGGACCTTGAAAACATTATGCTCAGTGAAAGGAACCAGACACAAAAGGCTTTATTTATCCATTTTATACGGAATGTCCGGAATAGGCAAATCCAGGAGCCAGAAGATCAGTCAGGGGTCCCCAGAGGCTTGSGGTGGGGGGATGGATAATGACTGCTCTAGGAATTTCTTTCTTTACGAAAAGATTCTAAATTTGGGCGCTGGTTGCACAGCTTCACGAATATACTAAAGCCACTGAACTCTACAGTTTAGACCTTGCTAAAAGGACCGACTTTAACATATGTGAATTATATCTCAATTTTAAAAACTTTCTTGGCCTGGGCATGTCGCTCGGTATAAAGTGCTTGCCTAGCGTGAGTGAGGCCCTGGGTTCCATCCCCAGCACMGCAAAAAAAATGGAAAAGAAAATTTCTCCGGAGGGTCAAGGAGGAGGCCCCCAGGTACTGCGGCCCCACCCCTCCTCTGGTGGCACTGCGAGCCTGGGGAGCGGAGGCAGCACACGAGTGCGCAGGCGCCTTTCCTGGGTAGGCGGGGCGGAAAGGCTCGCCCCGCCCAGGCAGGATGACTCCGCCCACCTCCCCGGCCTGCTCCGCCCACCTGGCGCGCGGGCCGGCGCGGGTCTGCGCATGCGCCTGGAAGCCTTACTGGCGCGCCTGTCGTGGCCGGGTGGAGCCCACGGGGCGGATCCCGCTGCCCTCCGCCTGGAGCTGGCCGCGAGGCCGGTGTCTTACCGCTTTCTCCATTAGTTGTCCCAGGTAGCGCCGAGGCTAGGGACGTTTGTTCAGCCCCACCAGAAGCGATCACCGCGTGTCGCCGAGTGACCCTCCCAGATCTCTCGAGCCACCTCCCTGCTCCCTGGAGTCCACTGGGCGCGCCGSGGCATCTCTGGGCTCGGAAACCTGCTGCCCAGCGGAGGCAGGACGAAGACCCACTCCTTCCACGCCGCTCAGTAGATAGTTAACGCCTTGCAGGCCATGCTGTGTGTCCTGGTCACTCAGGTCCGCCGGCTTGGCCCCAAAATAGCCGCAACTAGAAAGGACACTGAAAACGGACTTCCGTTTAATTCCTATAAGTTTTACATGTCATGAAACATTCTTTTGGTTTTTTTTTCAACAACCTAAAATATAAGACTTTATGATTAGTCTGCTCCACGGGCCCTATAAGAAAACCCGGGCCAGCAGAGTTTGCCAACTCCTGCCTCGAGACTGGCTTGGGATGGGCTGCCCTTTAGCCTTACCTTTTGTTTACCAAGGACAAGTCGCCTAAAGTCCCCCACAGAAGACTCCTCAGAGCTGAGATCCCCTTCCCTGATTCAAGGACACAGTGGGAGGTGACATGTTCATCCTCTGGCTGGACTGTCTTATCTTTGCACTGAAGGTGTCTCAGTGGTTGACCAACCTCAGAGGAAAGGAACTCACCACCTCAAGTCCAGCTCAGTTCATCTTTGCAATTTTCTCATAATCCCATTTTATTTTACTTCAATTGATTATTTGGGGGGGGGAGTTGAAAACGTAATTCCTTTAAATTTTGTTTTTAGTTTTAATCGTGGTAACTGGAAAACCTGATTATTTTGATCACAAGTTGCCGGCTTGGAAGCTTTGCATTTCCATCATAGTTGTAGCTGAGAACTGAAAGGACTGGAGGACAGATGACCAGGTCTGCCTCTGGCTCTGGGTCAGCCCCTGTAACAAAATCCCCCTTCTCCCAGTTAGCCTTGCTGAAGGGCAGACAGTGGAGAGCGGGCATCTTGCAGGCACAACTGACATGGTACATTTGGTATTTGTGGGATTGCAGAGTGAGGTGTGAAGTCAGGATTTAGGCCATCACCACAGTGGTGCATTGTGGGAGACACTCCCCGGCTGGGTGCTGAGGCGCTCAGTCGCAGAAATGTGGCAGAGCTTTCCCCACCCTTCTTGGGTTCCAGGGTCCCTCTGGTGCATGGGTGTGTCTTGCTACAGCCCCATGGGTGAGGCTACGCTACCCTGTTCCTTTGTAATATACCGCTTGCCCTGTTTAGGATAGAATCTTCCATGGAAGTGCCTTGTGTGTGTCCCCTTCTCTTACTGTGCCCTTGGGTGTGGCCTACCCAGGTGTCAGTCAACCTGCTGACAGTGGACATCATGAGATAGACTCAGCCCCCTGAAATCTGGCCCCTTGCCTCATTTGAATAGCTTCTCCTCAATACAAGGGGTCAGCATGTGCTCTTGCTCTCTCTCTTCCTGCAGACCCTTAAGGTCAGAGGAGCTGTCAGAGTGACCCCAAACAAAAAGGTATTTGTGTCTCTTGTGGGGTTATTTTGCAAAGCCCAGTTAGCCCAGTTTACCTGGAGGGACCCCTGAGCCTTTTAGTCACCGAGAACAGAAACCCGGCAGTGCCTGTCTCAGCTGCTGGGGAAGATGAGACAGGAAGATTCCAAGTGCCCCAGTAACATCAAATACATACATACATAAATAAACAAGCAAAATTCAATGTTTTATTAAACCCAGTATATTCGAAACACTAAGCATGTAAGCAATATAAGACATTTACTTATTGGGGTGCTTTTTTTGGTGGTGGTGGGGTAACAGGGAATTGAACCCAGGAGCACTTAACTACAGAGCCACATCCCCAGCCCATGTTTAATCTTTCATTTTTTTTTTTATATTTATTTTTTAGGTGTAGATAGACACAACACAATGCCTTATTTTTATGTGGTGCTGAGGATCGAACCCGGGTCCTGCCCATGCTAGGCGAGTGCTCTACTGCTGAGTCACAATCCCAGCCCCTAATCTTTCATTTTGAGACAGGGTCTCACTAAGTTGCTGAGGCTGGCTTTGAACTTGGTGATCCTCCCAACACATCCTCCCATGTACCACCAACACCCAGCTACAAAACAATTATTTTTATTATTGATTTTTGAAATCTTAACTTTTCCTTTTTACTATTTTAAAGCTGTTGATGGACCTTTATTTTATTCATTTATTTATATGTGGTGCTGAGATTTGAACCCAGCACCTCACACATGCTAGGCAAGTGCTGAGCTACAACCCCAGCCCCTGCAAAACAATTATTTTTTTTTTTTTTATATTTTTTTTAATGATTATTTTATTTTACATTTTGGCGGACACAACATCTTTGTTGGTATGTGGTGCTGAGGATCGAACCCGGGCCGCACGCATGCCAGGCGAGCGCGCTACCGCTTGAGCCACATCCCCAGCCCCATCAAAACAATTATTGATAAAATGTCTTGATTTTTTTCTGCTAAATCTCCGACACCTGGTGTGCATTCTGTATTTACTACATCCCATTTGGACTAGCATTTAATAGTGTGGTGTGGTTAGCAGCTACTATCTCAGAAGGTGCTGATTTAGACCAAAGGAAACAGGAAATATGGAGAAAAGAGCTTAGTGTGTGACTCCAAGACAGGAGGCGGCTGCTTGACCCTGGGCCTTGTGGGTGACCTTCATGAGCCCTCCTTAGTCACCTGCCCGCCCACCCCAGGCACACAGGGTTGGGTCTTACTGGAGCTCTCTGAAAAGGTGGGCAGAGTGAGCCAGATCCCTAATGGCCTGGTGGGCGTGTGAGAATGTCACCTATATGTCAGCGTGTGCTCTTCTGTCAGGGAAGCTCAGCTGGGCTTGCTGGCGGACACGGGGCAAGATTCAAGTTTTGGACCTGGGGGTTGGCGACGGGGACCCAAGCTTGGTCGTGGGTGTCCTCTGATCTCTGATGTTGGGGAGAGGGGTTGGGAGGAGAGGCTAACCCAGGGGAAGGAGCAGAACATTTTGAACACCTACAGCTCAAAGCAGAGGCACTTCTTTCCTAGGAGACACAGGAGTCCCCCGTGTAGACCTCTCAGATGGCGAGCTTTCTGGACACTTCATTCAGGGGCAGAGAAGTCTTTTTCCTTGGATTCTCACCATTCCCCACGCTACCACACTCTGAGCCCTACTCTGCCCAGAGCCGCAGTCAGACTCTGCACCGGCTGACAGCGGGGACACTGGAGTCAGGAGGCCGAGGCACCCACCCTGGTCCTCAGCGGCTGGCTTCTCAGCTGTGAGGAGGGGAGTCTAGACTATAGACTCCCCAAGCTTAGTCTGTCTCTGTGTGTGAGTGTGTGTGTGTGTGTGTGTGTGTGTGTGTGTGGTGCTAGGGACTGAACCAAGGGCCTCAAGTACTAAGTACTAAGTACTCTACCACTGAGTACATCCCAGCCCATTAATTTCCCCCAAATCTTCCCCAGACCCCAGCCACACCTGGTATTGTGGGGAAGTGTGGGCGGGCCAGGGGGGCAGCCTTCGGGGTACCTCTGTCTACCTCAGCCATCTGAGCCAATCCCTCAGGCCCCCTGCTCCCCAGAGTGCAGCAGGAGCTCTGTACTAGGGGTAGAGTGGAGATGGAGCTTGGTGGTGCACACCTGGGATCCCAGCTGCCTGGGAGGCTGAGGCAGGAGGACTACAAGTTCAAGACTGGCCCGGACAACTTCGACAGATCCTGTCTCAAAACATAAAAACGGGATGCAGCTGGGTGGCAGAGCACCCCTGGGTTCCATCCCCAGTACCGAGAGTAAACAAGCCAACAAACCCAACTAGGAGGGGTTCACAGGCCCACAAACAAACGTCAGCCACCAAGGATTTTCCCAGGGCCGGGATCAGACGGAGTCATCTGAGAGGAAACAGCAAGGTCCCGACACTGGGCTCAGGCCACGTGTCGTCAGGACAGGCATCAAGGAGCCCGTGGCTCCAGAGGAAAAGCAGTTCCACACAGGCTCAGAAGGCAGACACGCAGATCAGAGAGAGCCACCTGGGCTTGGTCCCATTTATTATAAAATGACAATAAACTGATATAAAAAAGATCCCTGAGAGCCGCTGCTGTGCCCACAAGGGCGTGTCTCAGAGCAGCCCCAGAGTCCCTCCCAAGGTGCCTCGGGCCTGGAAGGTCTCAGATTCGAAGATCCCCAGCCAGAAGGGCACTGTACCGTGCAGGTGTGAGGGGCAGGTAGGCACCGACGACCTGGTCCAGAACGTAGAGGGGGTCAGACAGGGTGCTCGGGTCGAAGCCCTCGTTGGCCATCCGAACCTTCTGCTGTTTGAAGGTCTCGGTGGTGGCCAAGGACTCCTGGAGGAGGAAGGGCCACAGGTGTGGAAGGAAATCATCCTGCCCGCGCAGCTCGGGCGAGTGTCTGGATTTGTTAAGGGGCAGGTCCAGGGGCAGGGCCCTAGATAAGGCTAAGCGAAGAGGTGACAGGGAAGGGAAGGTCCAGGCCTGGGGGGACAGGGAGAGGGGCCGAGGAGCGTGYCCGGGACGGCGCTGTGGGTTTCTTCAGCGTCTTCCGTGGGAGCCCTTGGTGGGGTGCGGGAATCACCAAGGCTGTGGATGCTGGGGGGCGGGGCGGGGCGGGAGTGGCGGTTACCTGAAGCCTGAGGAACCGAGGCCGGGCGTAAGGGGGCAGGTTGTCAGAAACGTGGGCGTAGAGCTGCACAAGGTCTAAAGCGTGGGGGGGACGCAGAACCAGGGCTGCCATCCCAGCCCTGCCTTCGTGCCCTGGAGGGTATAAGGAGCGGGTGAGCCACCCGCGGCCGGCCACCAGGAAGGCCTCGTGCTTCTCGGGGTGATGGGCCGCAGGACGCCCCCACCTTCCTGGCTTAGGTACCTGGCACAGTGACTCCGTAGACGTTCACCTCCTGAAGGAAGTCCAGGGCCTCAAAGACCTCCGCCACCTCAGTGGTGGCCACATTCTCCCCTTTCCACCTGCGGGAGGCAGGGTCAGGGCTGGGGACTTGGTGGGGAGAGGAAGAGGTCAGAGGTCAGGGACCAGACTGTCGGGGGCTGAGTGTTGGTGGGTCTGAGAACCAGAGGCTGGGTGGGAGTCCAGGTGGGGCAGGAGTCAGGGGGTCAGAGAGAGGTCCAGGGTCAGGAGCCAGGTGTGGGAGGTACCTGAAGGTGTCTCCAGTGCGATCGTGGAAGCGGAGGAAGCCTTGGTCATCACAGACCAGCAGGTCCCCAGTGTTGAAGAAAACGTCTCCAGGCCGGAAGACGTCCGTCAGCAGCTTTCCCCGGGCCAGCTCTGGCCCCCCGGCGTAGCCCAAGAATGGGGACTGCTGGCTCACAGGGGCCACCAGCAGCCCTGGCTCACCTGGCAGAGTCGCTGGGGTCAGGAGTGACTGTCCACCTTGCCCAGAGCGTCCTGGCCCCTGGCCCCCCCTTCACACCCCCCCACCCCCCCTGAGCACAAACCTGGAGATGTGGCTACACAGTGCCCCTGGGCATCCCGAACTGGCTCCCCTGTGGTGACGTCATAGCGAATCAAAGAGAAGGGGAAGATGTGCTGGGGAAGGGAGACCAACTGGGGTCATTCCAGTGCGGGGCCTCCCTCCCGCCAGCCTCCCCGTGTTCTGTGGGCTCCCCTCACCTTGTAGAGCCAGGAAGCACGTCCCACAGCACCGCGCTGCCCTGTGTAGTTGAAAGTGGCCACGTTGCCCTCCGTCAGTCCGTACGTCTCCAGCACCTGCAGAGGCCCAAAGCGCCGCACAAAACGCTCCCAGGTGTCGGGGCGCAGCCCGCTGCCCACTGCCAGCCGGACCTTATGGCCAAGTTCTGCTTTGCTCTGAAACAAGTGGGAGAGGGAGGGGTTTCCCACCCAGACGCCAGTTCCCCCTGCGAAGCCCCTCCCCTGTGGCCTCTTTCAGAGGCCCTAAGCCTCAGGTAGCTTCAGCCATCTTGGGCTCTTTGTAGGCCACGCCCTCGTTCTTCTCCTTTCCCTCCAATTCCCAGAGGACTGTGTCCCTGTGACCTGGCCAAACGCACCGGGGGCTGGTTGACCAGGTATCGGCACAGCTCCCCGATGTACTGGAACACCGTCACCCTGTGCTCCTGGCAGTCCTCCCAGAACTGGCCAGCTGAGAACTTGGACTTCAGCACCACTGTGGCCCCTGCCGGAAGCAGGAAGCGAAGAGGGAAGGAGGACAGGTCACTAGCGGGGCCAGCTCCCTGGGAAGAGGCCGCAGGGTGAGCCAGACCTGTAGCAGGTCAAGGCTCCAGGCACATTCCTTCCTTCCTGCCCATGCCTTCGAGAGGCCAATACCCTGCTCCGATTCCCAGCCCCAAATATTCCACCCCTGGACCCGGGCTCCAGTCCCACCCTCTTCTGTGCCCTTTCTTAGACAGTCAGAGCCCTTGCCCCACTGTGTGCCTGCGTCTGGAGTTCTGTGAATCCTCTGGTCTCCCTGGCCACTCAATCTGTAGGCAGAGCATGAACCGTGGTGCCTGTCCCCACTGGACCAAGATCTGGGGAGAGGGAGGCCCTGCTCCTCCTCCCTCTGGATTCTCTGCCCCCAGAACTCATCCCCGGGGGAAGCCTGCGACAGCTGACACTTAGTAAACATCTGCTGACAGAAGGAGTGGGATAGGGTCGGGGCTGACCGATGCCCAGGCAGCCCACGATGCCCAGCAGGGAGCCCGACATGTGGTAGAGTGGCAGGGCGAGGTAGATCACGTCCTCCGGGTGGACACCGCACAACTGGTAGAATCCCTGGCACTGGAGGATCTTCAGGTGACTGATCCGAGCAGCCTTGGGGAGGCCTGTGGGTGGTGGGAGCCGGTGATCAGGGGAAGAGCTCAGCTCTGAGTCCTAGCTCCCCGTTTTCCCCTGCTGGGGTCAGAATCATCAGAAATCAGAGGGCGGTCAGCCATCCAGGAGATGCGGGTACTTGGGGGAGGTGAGGAAGGAGGAGGGAGTGGGAGGGCTGGAGAGAGAGGAGGTGCCCCCCATCTAGGAGATTTGAAGAGGTGCTCCCAGGGCTTAGGAGGTCCCGGCTCCTGTTCCCAGACCCTCCCTCCTCTGCCTTAGTTTCCTCAGGTAAGCACGGTGTCCAGCCCTCACCCGTGGTGCCAGAGGTGAAGATGTACAGGCACGTGTCCATCATGTTCTGGGGGGCAGAGAGGTATCCCGGCAGAGGCTCATCTATTTCGGCTGCTGCCTCAGCCAGAAAATCTCTGACTCCAGTAAGATGGGTTTCAGGACCCGTAGTCCACAGGTGGAGCCCCAGGGCTCTCAGGGCCGGCAGGTCGGGCTCCAGGGACTCCAGGAATTCTAGGAGGGGTAGGAAAGCACAACTGGGCGACTGTGGAAACTTTCCTACCCCCTGGCCAATTCTCCACACCTCTGGCACTGCCCTTGGATGAAGGTGAAGGGCAGGGACAATCCATCACGGGTCTGGGACCTGAAGCCCCACTCCTTGGAATTGTTCTTGGGGAACCAGATTCAGCACCATCTGTTCGAAAACCCTCGGACTCACATCCCACACACTTCTGAACCCCAGGGAGACAGTTTGGCGGTTTCCCAGGCCCCGAGACAAGACCCAGCCCTCCCCGGACTCCAGACATGCCCCTCCTGGTGGTTGGCCCCGCCTGGGTCAGTTCGGCGCTCCAGCCTTACCTGGCGCCAACACCAGCGCGCGCGCACTGCAGCTGCGAAGGCAATGCAGCAGGGGGCCCCGACGCAGAGCGGTGGGCACGAAGGCCGTGCACAAGCCGGCCTTGGCCAGCCCGAACCAGAGCCACAGGAATTCTGGGCTGGCGGGGAGGAGAAGCGCCACGGTCGCCCCAGGTGCCAGAGGGGCCATGGCTCCTTCATCTCCGGCCACCCCATCCTTTGGAGGTTCCGCGCTGCTTCCGGCTGCTGGGTCTCCTGCCCACTGGCTCCCCGCCGCCCTGACGCCTCCGCCGCGTCCCGGGTCCCAGCCCTGCGCGCGCAAGAAGGCGCGCGCAGCCCGGTTACTCTCACGTTCCGCCTGCGCGTAACTAAAGCGCCGCGCGCCGTGAATGAGGAAGGTGTGCGCCGGGCGTTGCCGAGCCAGTTGCGCGAGGCGCCAGGCCAGGCTGCAGCCCCCCTCCGGACCTTCTGGGTCGGCGGCAGCCGCAGCCAGCACACGAGCTCGCAGAGCCCTTTTGCAGCGGAGGGCGCGCACCGTGAAGGCCAAGTCGGCCGCGAACCAGCGCAACTGCGGCCAGAGGTGCAGCTTCAGTAGCAGCAGAGGCAGCAGCAGGAGCAGGGGAAGCAGTAGCAGGGCAGCCATGGTGCCCTCTTCCTTTCCTCGGCACCGACCGGCCCTAGACGCTCACAAACACCCCTGATACTCCCTCCGAAAAACTGGGCCCGCTCCTTCTGGCTCTGCGACCTCTCCTTTTCGGGAGCGCGCGCGCGCGTGCGCTGGCACACGCCCCTTCCCACCCAGCCCCCCACCCACCACCAGCAGCGAGCTGGCCCCGAGCGGAGGGGTGGGGGAGCGGCCCCCGGCCCTCCCCACAGCTTACGCCCCGCCCTGGGCGCGCTCCCTCCCGGCAGCTCGCACTGCGCTCCCGCACCCTATCAGGTCTTGGGCGGTGTTGTCCTTCTCTCAATCCCAGGGTTGTGTGTTCCGCTTTAAATTCTTTCTCCTCTTGGGAGGTTTAGGCCACTGGCTGGACTTTGGAGTCCCGGTCTGAAAGCCAGGGCGTTTAGAACGCAGTCCACCCTTCAGTCAGTATTGCTCATTTTCACCCGTGATGGGAGGACACCACTGCTCCTTTCCAAAGGCGACCGAAGAACTTGGCCCCTGGCCCATTCTGTCCTACAAGTCCAGGCTCGACAGCCAGTCCCTGCCCATCCTTCAGCGGCAACCCTCAGGGACGGGTGGGGGGCTCCAGAGTTAAGTAGGCGAAAGGTGGAGGCCCAGACGCTTGATTTCTGGAGGGGATATGGGGGAGACTCCTCCCTTTGGGCAAGGGTACAGTAACTGGGGCCAGCCCGCGAATGCTTTCCATCCTGGTTTTAATTGGGGCAGAGGAAACTAGGGAAGGAGGGAGGAAGGAAAAAGAGGCCTCTGGGGGTTTAGACTTTCAAAGGAAGGAGTAGCAGTTCTGAGGGGGAGGAGAACCTGGTTCTGTGAAAAGGCAAGTTTTCAGGGTGTCCGCAGTGAGCCCAACCTCACTCCTCTCTGCCCAGCAGGCCTCCCATCTCCGCGGGCAGCAGAGAAACAAAAGCATAGCCAAGTAAGTCTTCTGCTGTTCATGTGGACAGAAAGCGGCCAGACCGGAGGTGAAGGCGGCCCCCCAGACCTGGCATTTGAACTCCTCTCTCCCAGGCACACCTGTCTTTTAGGTCTCAGACTGGAACATCCCTCCCGGATAGTGCAGCTGACAAGCATGCAAACTTATAAATAAACTGAAATACCACAAACAATAACTTTGGAAGCCTTTTTTTTTTTTTTTTTGAGACTGGTAATTGAGCCCAGGGTTCATGCATGCTGGAAAATTGTTCTGCTGATGAGTTCCATCCCCAGCTTGACTAAATCTCTAGTGTCTTGAGGAGCAACCGGCAAGGACAGACCTCAGCCTGCAGGGAAATGGGGCCTCATCAGTTTCTGACCTGGACAGGTCAGTGTCTGGCTCACACCTCCAAAATGCAGGATGGGAAGGGCAAAGTTCCTCCTGCGGGCAGGCAGGGCAGGAAGGGAGAGGAGGAAGAGTTGTGACAGTGGGCAGGCCACCAACAAGGGCACCAATTAAACTGAGACCACTCTACATGCACAGAGTAAATGGGACGCCAATTCCGGCACAAAAGATCTTCTGGTTTGTTTTATTGTCATTTAAAAACAATTTTTTAAATGCGATTATCTCTGGAGGGAAAAAAGTCAAAAAGAAAAAAAAAAAAAAAGCAAAAACAGAACTTAGGAAACCAGATCATTTGACAGTTCTGAGGAACTTGCCTCTGGGACTTTCCTGGGCTCTGGCCCAGCTTTAGGTGACAACTGCAGATCAACCCAAGCCTCCTGGGCACAGTCCCTGTCAGGTTCCTTCCTGAAGGTTTATGGCATCTGCCTGGAATAGTGGCCACCATATCAGGTCAATGCCCACTACACACTGGTGTGGAGAGTGACCACAGAGCATGTGTTCAGAGCAAATCTAGAACCCAGGGAAGCAGGAAGGGGACCCACAGCCAGCACCTGCTCTCGTCCTAGCTTCTCAGCCCAGCGCCCCTTTGTCACTTCCCTTCTCTGCTAAGCGGTTCTTTGGGAGATGGGGAGGGGGCTGAGCAATTCCACCAGGGTCTGGTCTGGCACAGCCTCTGGCTGCCATGAGACCCAAATGTCAGCGGAAGTAGCAATGTGGGCAACGGGAGGCCCCAGGACAGAGGGGCAGAGTGGGGCTGCACGGCAGCTCTTCAGGCTGGTGTCAGAAGCAGCTCATCCTTTCCACTGGGCAAGCTCGGGGGCAGGGAGGGAATCTTCCCTGTATCTCCCAGCCCTGTTACCCTTTGATTCACCAGGGGGAGGGCAGTCCAATTGAGGGTAGGATGGGGAACATAGGATCTCAGTCACTGTCAGAACCCACAGCAGAAGACCCTTTTCGTTTCCGCTTGGTGGGCTTTGGTTTTGTGTCTTCTTCCTCCTGGAAGAGATGGGGATGGGAAGGAGAAGGGAAATCACTAGCTGGGCAGCTGCCTGCTGGTCCCCATTCCATCCGCCCCATTGCGCCTCTCCCCATGGTGCTGGACGGGGTCTCACCGAGGCACTGCTGGAGCCCGACTCTTCCTCAGCATTGGGCGGCTGAGTGGCATTCTTCCGACTTCGAGGACTAGACAGAGCTGCCTTTCGCCGGCTCTTCGGTGGCTTAGTAGAGGAGTCCTCATATTCCTCTGCCAGGGAGAAGAGGTCACTGAACCTAAGGGGAAGGAGAACAAACTCTCAGAGTGGGACATCCTGACCCCATGGCCACCTCCCATGCTGTTTTCTGCCCACAGGCCTAGGTCTGTTTCTCTTATCAACCTTGAGGTTTTTTTGTTGTTGTTTTTTGGCGGTGCTGGGGATTGAACCCAGAGCCTTATGCATGCAAGAGAAGCATTCTACCAACTGAGCTACATCCCCACCCAACCTCAGGGTCTTGATGGCTATTAAGCTTGTGTCCCCAGTGGGCCTCCTCTCCCCTAGGCCTTCTGCTCGCTACTTCCCAAGACCAGAAGTGGAAGGAGCCTCACTTCATCTTGTGGGCTTCATCACAACTTGCTTGGACATGCTGCAGTGCCTGGAGGATTGGGGTCTGGCTAAAAACTGGAGGGAGAAGGAAAGGAGAGCAAGGAAGAAAAACGATTAGATGTCTGGGAGCTTATTAAACCACACCAAAGCTTGTTTCCTCCCAAGAGTTTGGGTTCTGATCCTGCCCCTACCACCCGCCTGGCTTCAGGGGCATCTGAGCCAGGCAGCACTCCACGCACTAGACCCCGAGAGGGTGAGAAGCATACAGTTCTGCTTGGTGTTGGTCAGGTTGAGCCGCAGGTTGTCCAAGTGCTCCAGGATCTGCTCTAGAGTCAGCTGGGCCAGCTTGCTGCTTGAGCTTCTGAGACTGCACAGGGAGGTGACAAGAACTGGTCTGAGCCTAAAGGGAGGGCTCCAGTCATGTGACACCTCCACCTCACCGAGATCCCTCCTTAGGACAGAGGCAGTCCATTCCCCAGGGGAGATGGGAGGATTGGGTGTGCTAAGGAAGGTGGACAGCTGCAGGGCACGACGAGAGGGGAGTAGGAGCCACACTGGTCCTTTAGACTGCATGGCTTCAGACCACTAGATGTCACCCACCACCCATGGGCGGCAGTCGCTGTAGCCTGCCCTGGTGATGGCCCGTTGACAGTGGGCAGGAAACAAGGACCACATCCCACCTCTGCCTCTTGCGAGGGAGGCTATTGTTTTTGATGAGCAGGGACTTGATGTGCTCTGCCAGCAGCTCATCGTGCTTCATGCACCAGTGCCGCAGGATGCTGGTGGTGAACTGGTCGTCGGGATGACAGGGCCGGCTCAGGACCATCTTTACCATCTCCTCACTAGGCCTGGGGGGAGAAGGGTGCTGGATGTTGTGCCCACACACTGGCCCTAGGAGCCGCTTATTTACTACTGATTTCCCAAATCTGAGCCTCCCTACCCAACCCAAGCCTGGCTGTCGCTTCCTACACTTACATCCTTCTCCCACTTCTCTTTGGGCCAAGGAACACATGGCTGTACTCTCTGCAGAAGCCAGAGGAGAAGTGAGATTATTCTGTTTGATGGTGGAAGGTGTGCAAGTGTGTGTCAGGAAGGAGGCCCAACAAACTCCTAGCTTCCCCAGAAGAGTCAGGAGGGAGACTAAGAGACAAAGGACAAGTCTGTGGTCCCCTGACCTGCTGGAGCTGGGGGTAAGCCTGGTATCCAGGTTGAGGGAGGGGCAGGAGAGAGGCCTCCAACTTCCCACCTCCTCAGGACATTCTGTACCATTTCTAGTGTCTCAGGAGAAAAGGTGGAAGGAAGACAAGAAGGTAGGAAGGAAAAGACACACAGCTGTGGCCCCATTAGCCTGGGGATGGTGCTAAGTTGCCCGTGATGGAAGAGGAGACTTCTGCTTTCTTGCCCTCTATGCCCGACCCCTGGCAGGGGCACAATGGGCCCAGCTGGCTCTGCACTGTGCAGGTTAAGGGAGAGCATGGGTGTGAGCCCTCTACTCTGACCCTTCCTCCTCCTGGATTAGCCTGTGGTGGCCTGCAGGAGCATGAGGGAGGGGAACATGAGCCACTAGGATTAGAACTGCTGTGGCAGCAGGAAACAGGGATGTCCGGTCCCCACCTCTGAGGACAGTTTCTGGTGGGCAGGGGGGTAAAGTCAGAGGAAGCCCAGATCCCAGGGGATCTGCTTATTTGTAAGTCACACTGGGGGGAGGGCAGAATAAGCAGATGTCAATAATAGGAAACAAACATGGCAAAAGGAACAGGACAGAGCCCTTTATGCCACAGTATCTCTTAGGACATTGGGACTAAGGGCTAAGAGTCTCTAGGGGTGGAACTCACTTTTCTCTTCGGAGCTGCAGCAGCAGGCAGGACAGGGCCTCTGGGTGTTCTAGGGGGAAGGGTACAGGCTGCTCAGAGGAATGTGTTATTCCAGGGATGGATCTGGGCACCTCTCCCACACCCCCACCAACAGCCACTGGAAGACCAAGGACAGTCCTTTACGAAAAGCCAGGAAGAATCCCCTACCCTGATCCTAATGCCAGAGGCATCTGAGCCACAGCCCAGGGGCCAGGCTCAGGATGGACCTGCAAAGCTCATCTCCAGGGCCCAATGACCAATAGTGAGCCTGCTCTCTGCACCACGGTGGGAAGGAGCAGGG